GAGGAGGGGCGGGTGGTGAGGGGAGGAGTGAGGGGCGTGGTGAGGGGAGGTGAGGGGCGGTGGTGAGGGGAGGGTGAGGGGGGCGGTGGTGAGGGAGGAGGAGGGTAATGTAGAGAAACGGAAGACAAATGTTTATAAATAGACCGCCATTTGTGTCTATTAATTCTTCACTATTCCTCTATCGTGACCTCTCCTCTATCGTGACCCTCCTCTATCGTGACCTCTCCTCTATCGTGACTCCTCCTCTATCGTGACCTCTCCTCTATCGTGACCTCTCCTCTATCGTGACCTCTCTCTTATCGTGACCTCCTCTATCGACCTCCCATCGTGACCCTACTCTATCGTGACCTCTCCTCTATCGTGACCTCTCCTCTATCGTGACCTCTATCGTGACCTCTCCCACGTGACCTTCCTCTATCGTGACCTCTCTCCTCTATCGTGACCTCTCCTCTATCGTGACCTCTACTCATCGTGACCTCCTATCGTGACCTCTCCTCTATCGTGACTCTATCATCGTGACCTCTCCTCTATCGTGACCTCTCCTCTATCGTGACCTCTACTTATCGTGACCTCTACTCTATCGTAACCTCTCCTCTATCGTGACCTCTCCTCTATCGTGACCTCTCCTCTATCGTGACCTCTCCTCTATCGTGACCCTCCTATCGTGACCTCTCCTCTATCGTAGACCTCTACTCTATCGTGACCCTCCTCTATCGTGACCTCCTCTATCGTAACTCTACTCTATGTGACCTCTCCTCTATCGTGACCTCTCCTCATCGTGACCTCTACTCTATCGTGACCTCTACTCTATCGTAACCTCTCCTCTATCGTGACTCTACTCTATCGTGACCTCTACCCATCGTAACCTCTCCTCTATCGTAACCTCTCTCCTCTATCGTGACCTCTACTTATCGTAACCTCTCCTCTATCGTGACCTCTCCCCCATCGTAACCTCCCCATCGTAACCTCTCCCCCATCGTAACCTCCCCATCGTAACCTCTCCCCCATCGTAACCTCTCCCCATCGTAACCTCTCCATCATAACCTCTCCCCCATCGTAACCTCTCCCCCATCGTAACCTCTCCCCATCGTAACCTCTCCCCCATCGTAACCTCTCCCCATCGTAACCTCTCCCATCATAATCCCTCCTCCCATCGTAACCTCTCCCCCATCGTAACCTCTCCCCCATCGTAACCTCTCCCCATCGTAACCTCTCCCCCATCGTAACCTCTCCCCCATCGTAACCTCTCCCCCATCGTAACCTCTCCCCATCGTAACCTCTCCCCATCGTAACCTCTCTCCCCCATCGTAACCTCTCCCCATCGTAACCTCTCCCCCATCAAATCCCTCTCCCCATCGTAATCTTCTCCCCATCGTAACCTCTCCCCCATCGTAACCTCTCCCCCATCGTAACCTCCCTCTATCGTAACCTCTCCCCATCAACCTCTCCCCATCGTAACCTCTCCCCAATCGTAACCTCTCCCCCATCGTGACCTCTCCTCTATCGTAACCTCTCCTCATCGTAACTTCCTCTATTAATTATTCTCCTATATTCAATTATATATTACACCTGTACTGTGGTATATTTCATCAACATTGACCACACCGACCACACAACATCAGCTGACCTTGTAAACAAACGTGACTCGACGTATTTTGGTATTTACATAACGATTCTAGGGATAATGTCTTTAGAAAAGTAAAGGTTAAATAACAAATGTTGATTTACCAAGGTTCATACGACGTTAAATACATAGTGTGTGTGTGTGTGTGTGTGTGTGTGTGTGTGTGTGTGTGTGTGTGTGTGTGTGTGTGTGTGTGTGTGTGTGTGTATGTGTGTGTGTGTGTGTGTGTGTGTGTGTGTTTTAACTGGTTTAATTTAGGATAGTTTGTACTGAGAATCTGCCTTAACTAAATACTGTATGTTCACTTAGCAACAGTTAGGAGACTAAATGACTTAACTTCTGGAACCTCTGATAGACAGTGTGTGTGTGTGTGTGTGTGTGTGTGTGTGTGTGTGTGTGTGTTGGAAAATGAGGGATAAAGAGGGTGTGTGTTAGAAAGTCAGAGAGAGAGAGAGAGAGAGAGAGAGATTTAATTAGTTCCCATGGATTTTCACACACCAATAAAGATAAAAGAAACCTTATCTCGACTCTCTCAAAATGTGTGTGTGTGTGTGTGTGTGTGTGTGTGTGTGTGTGTGTGTGTGTGTGTGTGTGTGTGTGTGTGTGTGTGAGTACTGCGTGTATACATATGTCCTTCATCAATGTGTATGTATAAATATGTGTAAATACGTATAAATGTGTAAATACTTCTAAATATGTGTAAATACGTCTAAATATGTGTAAATATGTGTAAATACGCCCCTATCCATGTAATAATAGTCCCCGGTTGATATTGAACTAATATACCAGACCTTATCCCTTATCAGTGTCACTCTTATCTTCCACCCGATTCATATCAGTGATGCTCGATTTTCGTCACAAGATTTGATGTGTAGGTGGAGAGGGTTCCTTACTTATAGCTGTTTTGTAAGTGAGGTGTTGTTTATAAGTAGGGCTTGGTAGGATGGGTCATGTTGTTTATCACTATACGTTACTTAAATAAGTGTACGGGTGTGTGTTTCTCTCATTACCATATTTAATATTTGTACTATACTATTACCACTACTACACTTTATGCTACTACTACTACGACTACTACGACTACTACGACACTTAACACCTGTCTTCCTCCTCCTACTACTACTAACCCCACCACACTTTTACACTACTACTACTATTACTACTACTATTACTACTACACATTACCACCACTACACTACTACTACTATTACTACTATTCTAAATGAAGGTCACCCATCAACTCGCCTCACCTGTGTACAGATAAATTACAGGTGCGTGCCTCACACCTGTACCGTCATCAGCGTACACCTGCATACACTTTACTGCTGTAATCCACACACACACACACACACACACACATACATACATATATATATATTCCTTAACCTTTGTACTATAGGTTAAGTTAGTCCTGAGGAAACTTAACCTAATTTTAACCAATTTAATTTAGTTTAACCTAATTTAACATAAACATTAAGGCCTACGACTGGGGTCTATTAATAAAATTTAACACCTAAACCTAACCTGAATCACCTTAACCTAACCTAACCAAACCTAACCTAACCAATCCTAACCTAATGAAAAAAAATACATTACTTTACTAAATTCAAAGATGCATTACTTAAATATTTCACTTTTTATTAAACTTTCAAATAACTTATATTCATCACTTAAGTAATTCCAAAAAGTTTACTTTAATCAAATTTTTCTGTAATGTCTAAGTATTTTTTGTTAAGTATTTTTATTTATGTAATGGTGACTAATGTGTGTTAAGTGTAAAGTTAACAAGAGTTGAGATCTGTCAGCTTTGGAGAAACCCACAAGTTATCTTATGTGTTTCCGTTGATGTCACAGCAACCTTTATATACTGATAATGAATATGATGTATTTCTCTGTCCTGCGTGGCAGTGAGAAGTGATACCACCCTCAGTGTCAAGACCTGACTGAATTACTCACAATAGGCAATCTGTACCCCAAGCTTTGTCAATAAATTTGTTAAACTAAAAACCACACACACACACACACACACACACACACACACACACACACACACACACACACACACACACACACACACACACACACTACATCCTTGACCACCGAAGGTGTCAAGACGTACCTGGCGCTCCTGAGCAGCCAGGTCAACTTTTGTGTTGGCCCATACCAACTCCCTCCCTGAACCCTCCCCACCGGAATATCAACAAGTTCCCGCCAGAAGTTACTATTTCATTTAGGAAAGAAATGGAACCAGTGTTAAACAGAGGTGAACAGTGGTGAACAGTGCTTAAGTCAGTGAGAACAACTCAACAGTAACAGTAGTACCCAAGTTGACTCCACACAGTGAGGTCCCAGGTACCCAGTGATAACGGCCCGTGAGACCCAACCACCAGCGATGTGTTAATCCGTCTACGATAGGAGGGCCTGGAACCACACCTCACTATATAACACCATCTGTGAGGGAATTATCACCACGAGCCCTCATAACACCATATGTGAAGGAGTTACTACACCACGAGGCCCCCTATAACACCATCTGTGAGGGAATTACTACACCACGTGAGGCCCTCATAACACCATCTGTGAGGGAATTACTACACCACGTGAGGCCCCTCATAACACCATCTGTGAGGGAATTACTACACCACGTGAGGCCCCTCATAACACCATCTGTGAGGGAATTACTACACCACGTGAGGCCCCTCATAACACCATCTGTGAGGGAATTATCACCACCGTGAGGCCCTCATAACACCATCTGTGAGGGAATTACCTAAAGTGAGGCTCTCATAACACCATCTGTGAGGGAATTACTACACTACTGAGGCCCTCATAACACCATCTGTGAGGGAACTACTACACTACGTAGTCCCTCCTAACACCATCTGGGAGGGTTACACACTACGTTTTTGCTGTTCAACACCTATATTAATCTGTATGTTCACTGTATGTTCCTTTACCTTTCTCTAATGAAGGCTTTTGTTAAACCACCAATGTATGTAATAAGTCATTTATGTCCAAGTATATTTTCAGCCTTCGGGCTGAGAACTTTTTCAATAAACCTAATTATTATTATTATTACACACACACACACACACACACACACACACACACACACACACACACACATACACATACACACACACACACACACACATCTGGTAACAAACAGGCTGTGATAGCGACCAAAAACACATTATATAAACAATTAATTTACAAACTTCACTATTTTGTTCAGTTTGACGAATTAGATAGGAATTAAAATGCTGGTAACTCTCTCTCTCTCACCCAGGAAAAACACACACACGACAGCCATATTCACATCACCTCAAACATACACTATATCACCTTATTTATACAACATAGGGGAATTACTCACCAAAATACACCGGTTTGTCACACTTTGGGCAGTTGGGCATCTTGGTAAGAGTGTTTTGGGACGCGGGCACAAAGTGACGTCTATTCAACGCAGCGTTCAGGGGGCCAATGAGGAACGAGTCCCGAGCTCTCTCACAGGCTCACACCTCGACACGGCGCCTCCATGCCAGCTTGTGTTGATAAGGTGATGTTACCAGAGGTCACCAGATTCAATATTTTTTGGGGGGAGATTTGGGGATTTTTTCATTATTTTTATATTTTTTTATTTACAGATTTCAGAGTATGGTCAAAATATGGGAGCCTCTGTTTGAGTTTATTTCTAAGCCTCTATCCCAACCCCCCAGCCTCTATCCCAACCCCCAGTTTCTATCACAACCCCCAGTTTCTATCACAACCCCCCAGTCTCTTATCCCAACCCCCAGCCTCTCCCAACCCCCAGTTTCTATCCCAACCCCAGCCCCATCCCCCAGTTTCTATCCCCCCCAGTCTATCCCAACCCCAGTCCCAACCCCCAGCCCCAGTCTATCCCAACCCCCCAGTTTCTATCCCAACCCCCAATCCCAACCCCCAGCCTCTATCCCAACCAATCCCAACCCCCAGCCTCTCCCAACCCCACTCCCAACCCCAGCCCCCAAGTCTCTATCCCAACCCCCCAGCCTCTATCCCAACCCCCAGCCTCTATCCCAACCCCCAGTTTCTATCCCAACCCCCCAGTCCCATCCCAACCCCAGTTTCTATCCCAACCCCCAGCCCATCACCCCCAGTCTGTCCCAACCCCCAGCCAATCCTGTCCAATCCCCCCCAGGCCCTATCCAACCCCCCAGTCCCCCCAGGTCCCAACCCCCAGCCTCCCAGTCCCAACCCCCAGTCCCAACCCCAGCCTCATCCAACCCCCAGTCTGCCGGTCCCCTCTATATCCCAACCCCCAATCCCAACCCCCAGTAATCACAACCCCCAGCCCCAGTCTCTATCCCAACCCCCAGCCTCTATCCCCCCCCAGCCCTATCCCAACCCCCAGTTTCTATCCCAACCCCCAGGTCCAACCCCCAGCCTCTACATTAGAACATAAGAATGGAGGAAACTGCAGCGGGCCTATTGGCCCATACTGGGCAGTTCCCATTTACACCCAACCCCTATCTATCATATAACCATCCAACCTACTGTATGTTTGAAGCTATCCAGCGTATTCGAGTTAATGATGATATTTGGTAACTTGTTCCACTCATCCACTACTCTGTTTCCAAACCAGTGTTTACCTATTTCGCGCCTAAATCTAAATTTGTCTAATTTAAGACCATTGTTACGAGTTCGCTCCTGGTTGGATAGTTTGAGTACCTTTGTAATATCCCCTTTGTTTAGCCCTGACTTCCATTTATACACCTCTTATCAGGTCGCCCCTCGCTCTACGTCTCTCGAGGGAGTGCAAATTAAGATGCTTTAACCTGTCTCTGTACTCAAGGTTCCTAATGCCCGGGATTAGTCTTGTCATTCTCCTCTGGATTCTTTCCAAGAATTCTGTATCCATTCTGTAATACGGTGACCAGAACTGAACTGCGTAATCCAGGTGTGGTCTCACAAGAGCAAGATACAGTTTTACGATGACCTCGCTAGTCTTGTAACTAACACTCCTTTGTATGAACCCAAGTACTTTATTAGCCTTGTTACGAGCAAAAACACATTGTTTACTTGGCTTAAGATTCCTACTTATCATTACTCCTAAATCTCTCTCGCAGTCGGATTTCTCAATGGCATCGTTGTTCTTCTGGTATCTGGTTTCCCTGTTTACATCTCCTATACTGAGTACTTTACATTTGTCCACATTGAATTTCATTTCCCATTTTTCAGACCATTCGAAAAATTGGTTTTGATCTCCCAACCCCCCAGCCTCTATCCCAACCCCCAGCCTCTATCCCAACCCCCAGCCTCTATCCGTTATGGCTTAGGTGTTCTGAGTGCATGAAAGGGCAATTTATTTAATTATTTATTTATTTATTTGTTTATTTATGTATTTATTTGAAGTGGAAGAGAACTCCAAATATGTGTCTCGCTTCTCCCCGGGTCTGGCTGTGATGGCAGAGTCGACTGGCACCCCTTGCGAGAATTCTTCACCGACTTTCCTTGGGATGAATGTTGCTTTTCCACTCGGTATGTGCTGACAGCATTGCTGGGGTTATACAGGGCGGTATGAGTGCATTTATCCCAGGGCAGGATGCAAATGCACTACAGGAGGATTTATATAAACTGCAGGAGTGGTCAGAGAAATGGCGAATGAAATTCAACACCAGCAAGTGCAGCGTACTTAATATTGGAAGAACAAATACTGTCAATGTATACAGCCTTAACAACATCAACCTAGAGAAGTCGACTTGTGAAAGAGACTTAGGGGTACTTGTAAGCCCGGACCTACGGCCTATAAAACAGTGCGTTAATGTTCGAAATAAGCCAAACAGAGTATTAGGTTTTATATCTAGAAGTGTAAGTAATAAGAGTGCAGAGGTCTTATTGCAACTATACCTTGCGCTAGTCAGGCCGCACCTAGATTATGCTGTTCAATTCTGGTGCCCTTATTATAGAATGGATATCAATTCACTAGAGTCGGTGCAGGGAAGAATGACGAAAATGATTCCGGGACTTAGAAACCTTCCACATCAAGATAGGTTAAAGAAACTAAACTTGCATTCCCTAGAAAGACGAAGAGTGCGGGGAGATATGATAGAAGTATTTAAGTGGGTGAAAGGAATCAATAAAGGCGATATAGATAAAGTTCTTATAATATCCGAGCAGGATAGGACTCGTAGCAACAAATTTCAGTTGGATAAGTTTAGGTTTAGGAGAGAGATAGGAAGGAACTGGTTCACAAATCGGGTGGTGGACGAGTGGAACAAGCTTAGCAACTTTGTAATAAGTGCTGGAACGCTGGAAAGTTTTAAAAGGAGGCTAGATAGATTCATGGATGATAGAGAGTGGTAGTATCTCTCTACAGGAGCTGCCATGCACAGGCCAACCGGCCTATTGCAGACTCCTTATTTTCTTATGTTCTTATCTTCCAAAACTTTTACTTTACATCTACCAAACCTTTCACATTACAATCATGGTTTGATCGCTCCTGCTCTCTTGCTTGCAGGGTGAGAGATAGGGCATATCGAGCTATGAAACTACCTCCTTCTCCTATTACCCACACCTCTTTCATTACTTCTAGGAATCGTTGTAAGGCTATTCTTCGTTGGGTCAAGCGGAATTTAATAAAAACAAAGACCGCTCTCCTGACTAACTCTTCTTCTAATAAATCCTTCTGGTCCTTAACCTAAAACATCTGTAATAACTTCTGCACTCCCTCTTTTCCTCCTCTCTTCCAACCTGATAACTCTATAGCCAACTCTCTCCCTGATTGAGCCAATCTCTTTGGCACCTTATTCTCCTCTAATTCCACCTTAGGCGATTACAACTCTATCCCTCCTACCCCTGCACCTCCTACTGAACCTATGCACTTTCCTATAATCTCCACTCGCAGGGTTGCCGGTGTGTTATCCAGGTTGGATGTGAGTAAGGCGCATGGACCAGACGGAATACCCCCTCGTGTTCTGAGGGAGTGTGCTGAAGCCCTGGACCCTGTGCTTGCTCGCCTCTTTCGCCTTTGCCTCAAAACCCAAACTTTTTCTTCTTCTTGGAAGCATGCCTTAGTTCAGCCCATCCCGAAGAAGGGTGACCATTCTAATCTCTTTAACTATCGCCCCATTCCCCTAACTTCATCCTTATGATTTTCAAAACTATCTTGAACTTCCATTTTCTCCGTCACCTTGAACGCCATTCTCCTTTGTCGGATCACAAGTATGGCTTTCGCCAGGCGAGATCTACTGGTGATCTGCTCTCCTACTGCACCCATCTTTAGTCGTCCTCTCTTAGGGATTATGGGGAAACTTTTGTCGTGGCTCTCAACATCTCCAAAGCATTTGACAGGGTATGGCACAAGTCTTTGCTTTCTAAACTTCCCTCTTATGGTTTCTCTCCCTCACTTTGTTCTCTAATTTCTAGCTTCCTTGAGAACCGATCCATGGCAGTTGTTGTCGAGGGATCGATCTCTCGCTCTTTCTCTACCGGTAGTGGTGTTCCACAGGGTTCTGTTCTTTCACCTACTCTCTTCCTTCTATTTATCAATGATTTACTTTACACTACAACTAATTCGATCCACTCTTACGTTAATGATTCTACTCTTCACTTCTCTTCACATTTTGCCCTTCCTCTAATTCTCAAACTAGATCTGTTTTTAGAGCTGATATCATTACAGCTATCAATGCAGATCTGTGCAGCATCTCTGAATGGGGAGGTAGAAACTTGGTTAAATTCAATATTACTAAAACTCAGTATTTACCAATTACAATTTCCAAATTAGATGATCTCCCACCAATCACATTTCAGGACGCAATCATTCTGCCAAGTTCTATGAGAGATATGCTAGGCCTCACCATTTCCTCTAATATGTCATGGAAGCCACACATCCGCATCATTGCTAAAGCTGCCTCCCGAAAGCTGCTAATGCTGTACAGATGCCATAGCTACTTCACTCCTAAGCAGTTGCTTCAAGTATATAAGGGATTCATTCGTCCTAGCTTGGAGTAGTGCTCTCGTATCTTGGGTAGCTCTTCTGTCCTACTGTTAGATGGGGTGGAATTAAAGGCATTTCGTCTTATGAACTCTCCTTTAGTTGATGATTTTTTCCCTTTCTCTTCGCCGCTATGTTGCTTCACTCTCTCTCTTTTACAGGTACTTTAACGGGCAATGTTCGGCGGATTTGGCATCCTGTGTACCGGCGGCAAGGCCGTGGGCTCGTAACACACGTCTTGCCCGCGGTGCCCACCGTTTCTCTGTGGATGTCGGTCACACTAGAATAACCCGTTATAGTACCTCCTTCTTTCCTCACACAGCCAAACTGTGGAATGCTCTGCCTTCTTCTGTGTTTCCATACTTATACAATCTGTCTCGCTTCAAAAAGCTGGTTTTCCGGCATCTTCGTGGTGTAGATTAATATAATCTTTTTCTTTTATATTTTTAATTTATTTTTACTCCTATTTTTCGCCCCCTAGGTCCTGTTGTGGGTCCATGACCTGTGCCCGGGTGGGCTATTCCCCGTAAAAAAAGTGAAAAAAATCACTGTCTATCGTCTCATTGCATTAGATAATGGTTCATCTGTGGCGTCGTATCTCAAGTGCTTCTAGTTCCAAGTGTCTTATCCTTCAACACAGTCTCTACCATCACCTCCTCCCACTTGTCTTTAGTGGTGTTTGTACTGAGATAAATCACCTGGAAGACTTCTTACCCCTTTTGTGTTCTTCAGTCAGCCCATCGGCCATAGCCACATACAGCTGCACGGTGGTAGACTGTAGCGGGTCACTCAGCCCATCGGCCATAGCCACATACAGCTGCACGGTGGTAGACTGTAGCGGGTCACTCAGCCCATCGGCCATAGCCACATACAGCTGCACGGTGGTAGACTGTAGCGGGTCACTCAGCCCATCGGCCATAGCCACATACAGCTGCACGGTGGTAGACTGTAGCGGGTCACAACCTCAAACCAAACCACGATGTGTATTATGATCCAACTGCCTGGGCCTCACTGGGTCTCTGGCTTGGTTGGGTTAGCTTAGATTTGTTTTGGTTTCATTAGGTGAGGCTCTCATACGGGTTTCCCACCTTATATCTTCCCCAGTTTTGGTTAATAATTCTTCATTAATAAACTCAATTATCTGTAATGACCTGCTCAGTTTATCTCAATATACTAAACGACTAATTGCTTTCTTCCTTAATCCTAACATCTGTTTTTTTCTTGTTTAATTTCTCTATTTTTTGCTATTCCACAGTTCCTCCTCTCCGTTCTCTTTGAGGTCTTGGCCACATACCTGTATTCTTGAGCCCCCACACACTGGCTGAGTATGACAGTGACGCCATTTTTCTGTGTATTGGGTGTTGGAAGTGCGGCGGTAATGCTCGTATCTCTCACTACTACATCCTGGGTTCAAGTCCTGGCCCGGAATAGGGAGGATATAATTCAGTGTGACCTGTGGTGTAACAGTCAGCATACTCACCTCGTTAACATGTGGACCTTGGTTCGATTCTAGGGTAAGTTTCTTTACTCCATTTGCCTCTATATACGCAGCAGTAATTGTTGTTTATGAATGGTGTTCCGGCGTAATAGTGAGTGTTCATCTTTTGCTGAGTGATGCAACTCGTTAACATAAGGGGTGGTTATATATATTTTTTTTATTGTGCACCCCCCTACATCCTTGTGGCACCCCCCTACAGCCTTGTGGCACCCCCCTACATCCTTGTGTAAGGTGAAGCGCTGAAGCGTTTACAGCGCCCAACAGGGAAGCATGCTAAGTTCATGCTTGCCTTTATGTCTCAAGAGTTAAGGGCGTAGAAGCCTGAAGAGTCAAGGGCTAGTGGTAGAGTGGTACCGCTCTTCCCTTCGCAAGCGAGATATCACGGGTTCGATTCCCGGGCCGGTGGAAGTTGTTTGGACTTACTTCCTAGCCCCCATTAGTCCCTGTTCCCCTAGCAGTACAGTAGGTACCTGGTGTAAGTCGAAAGTTGCGAATTCGTATTCAGGGACAAGTTGTTGGAGCTTCCAATAACTTGATGACATAAACCACTGACTGGGTGGTTATATCGGCGACATCTTCTACGTGCCTTAAACAAATTCCCTCCTGGGTGACCTTAGAGCCGGTCATCCTGGAACATGATGGGAAGTCTCAGGTTTTTCCGGGTGCAGAGAACCAACAGCTCGAACGGCTGGTTAGCTGATAAATGACCAAATAATAACAATAAAGAAAACGAACTTATAATGAATCACTTCCTGGTCGTCTATTGAGGACATGTTTTACCCAATGGACACACCGTTTTGACCAACTAATCCAGGTGTTAAATTGTCAGGTAGTTAATTAAATACCGATCATCCTGTTATAGCTACGTAACACACATACACTGCCAGGAGTCTGTACATATATGACTTTCTCTCCGTTAAATAGTACTGACATACGTACTGTCTTCACTTAACTGTAATAATTATTAAGCTTATCGTATATACATTCCGTGTGGTGTAAATAAATATCCGGATAACTTCTGGATAAGAAAAATTAGATACAAAAATAAATGGCAGGGGATATATTTCGTATTTTGAGAGTAGGACATATCTCCCTACTCTCTTGATCCTATATGTCTAGTTCAGTCAGTTCAGTCGCTCCCCAACTGTGAAGGGGGAAGGTAGTGTAGCTGTTCTCTGTGTCTCAGTGCCAACAGCTTTTTGATATCTATCTTGTATATCGTTACTCTAACTTTATATATGAAGGTAAGACGATACATATGGATGTATTTGTGGTTATTGTAGAGTTGAGTGGGGGGGTGAGAGTTGAGTGGGGGGGGGGGTGAGAGGTGATTGTTGGTTTATTTACATTGTCTATAGGTCATTGCCCCCCCCCGTCCTTGGAATCCCATTGGGCGGTGTTCTGAAACCGTAAATTCCATTGGTGTATTTAACAAGGTTCACACTACACAACACTCCCTTCCATACTCCATAGGTGTAGAAAAGTGTTTATTGAGAGAGCATGGTAGCCGGAAGGCTGAAAATATACAGTTACATAATCGGGGAATGGGTCTCTTGATTTACTAATGATGTACAGGTAACATAAGTGATACAAGTATGATGTATAATAATTAGGTGTTGATAATTTTTACAATGGTTGGGACTGGGCTGTTCTTATAGCAATCAGTTGATGCTCGTATGGCCAGGACAGTAGCTTGGGGCAATACAAGTGTGCTCCATCCTTCAGGTTAGGTCAGGTGAAGCCGTCAGGTCAGGTCAGATACAGCCACACTCAGTATTACACTGCTGTGTTTTTGTGCTTTTCCTTGGAGTGCATTATAGGAACACTGTTTGGTAGTCAATCGTTCACTGATCACTTGAATGTTTTGCTGAATAAATCCCGGTGTAGTAAGGCTGGTAGGGCGTTGGGATATAGCAGGGGGAGGGGATGGGGCAAACTGACTCGGCCTGGCTGCTCAAACTGGGAGCGCCTTCAGGGCACGTCTTGTCTCGCTGGTGGTTGACAAGTGTGTGTGTGTGATTATTCTGTTTAAGTCTGGAGATATACTAAAGACTGTTAATTAAATGAAAGCATCTAGTTTGGTGTCAACATTCCACCTCAGAACATAAGAATGGAGGAAACTGCAGCGGGCCTATTGGCCCATACTGGGCAGTCCCGTTTACACCCAACCCCTATTGCTCATATAAGCATCCAACCTATGTTTGAAGCTATTCAGCGTATTCGAGTTAATGATGATATTTGGTAACTTGTTCCATTCATCCACTACTCTGTTTCCAAACCAGTGTTTACCTATTTCACGCCTAAATCTAAATTTGTCTAATTTAAAACCATTGTTACGAGTTCGCTCCTGGTTGGATAGTTTGAGTACCTTTGTTATGTCCCCTTTGTTCAGCCCTGCCTTCCACTTATACACCTCTATCAGGTCGCCCCTTGCTCTACGTCTCTCGAGGGAGTGCAAATTAAGATGCTTTAACCTGTCTCTGTACTCAAGGTTCCTAATGCCCGGGATTAGTCTTGTCATTCTCCTCTGAATTCTTTCCAAGGATTCTATATCCATTCTGTAATACGGTGACCAGAACTGAACTGAGTAATCCAAGTGAGGTCTCACAAGAGCAAGATACAGTTTCAGGATGACCTCGCTAGTCTTGTAACTAACACTCCTTTGTATGAACCCAAGTACTTTATTAGCCTTGTTACGAGCAAAAACACATTGTTTACTTGGCTTAAGGTTCCTACTTATCATTACTCCTAAATCTCTCTCGCAGTCGGATTTCTCTATGGCATCGTTGTTCATCTGGTATCTAGTTTCCCTGTTTACATCTCCTATACTGAGTACTTTACATTTGTCCACATTGAATTTCATCTGCCATTTTTCAGACCATTCGAAAATTTGTTTAGATCTTCCTGTAGTTTTGTGGAGTCCTCGTCAGATTTAATAACCAAACCAAACCCATATCCTGTTCATTTTCTCCTCCGTGGCTTATTTCACCTAAAGATTAACCGCCCTAACACTATTTGGAGGGTTGAGGTTAGGTTAGGGTGGCTAATCTTAAGGTGAAATTAGTAATGGAGATAATCATCAGGTAATTCTCGACTTCATTTGAGATAGCGAGGCGCCTTCCGGGGGATACAGTGCTCGTGTGTGTGTCATTGTTACCAGAGGCGGAGGTGAACCATGCTTACCCTTATATTATGACATGGGATATCATATTCTGTTTCACGTTGTGGTGGTGGCGGCTTCCTGGTTACCTCCTCCCCCCTTCTCTCTGTTGTTGGGACATGTAGTCAACAGGCGCGAGGGATAAGCTGTTTACCTGTTGTTGATTGTATACTTTATATATATGTGTAGTCAACGGGTATGTGTTCTAAATTATTATTATTATTTTTTAAGAGGATTACCTCACCCAGGCACAGGTCACTGACCCAAATCAGGGCCTGGGGGCGAAAATATAATAATAATAATAATAATAATAATAATAAATACATACAAAAATGAAAAATAAATCAAGATTGAGAAACGACAGTATGTACAGTATGTTGTGTTGTCAAAGTAAGAGAAACAATTGAGATCCTGCAATTGTGTGTAAATGAGGCAGAAAGTCAGATGAGCAACCTGGGACTTGGTCAAAATTTTTGTGATGCCATATAGCAGGTAACACACACACACACACACACACACACACACACACACACACACACACAGTAAACGTATGTCAAGTTTGATAACATAGAAGGTTAATTAATGAACCCTAACCTAACCTAACCAAATGTTCCTCTTTTTGTTGACAGATCTGGTAGACACTGGCCACTCGAGTCTGAAGACCTATAAAGCATAGGTCCCTAAAAGACCCTTAAACCCCGAAAAGGATAATTAAACCTCATAATAGATCCTCAGAGGGATACTTAAACCCCCCTAAAAGACCCTTAAACTTCCCTAAAAGACCATTAAAACCCCTTAAAAGACCCTTAAACACCTCTTACAGACCCTTAAGCCCCCCTTAAAGACTATGACCGTCATCAGGCTCCATAAGGGCTTCCGGGGGTTTATCAAGGACCTGATCAACCCTGATACTCTGATCTTCAAGCTCATCTACTTCCTCTATCTAGCAGGTTAGTCATTTTGCTCGCTCATCCGGACATTTGCTCGCTCATCCGGACATTTACTCAGTTATCCGGATATTTACCAGCTTATCCTGATATTTACTCACTTATCCGGACATTTACTTGCTTATCCGGATATTTATTCACTTATCCGGCCATTTACTCACTTATCTTGGCATTTACTCACTTATCCGGTCATTTGTAACTGTTTATCTGTCCAGTCCGGATATTTTAACAATGTATTCAATCGTCTCTTGATAAACTGCCTTGTTATTTTGTGATGTTTTCAAGATAACGTTTTTTGGTGATTGCAATTTTGGGTGACATTTGGTGATTGCAATTTTTGGTGACATTTAATTATTGCAATCCTAGATGACATTTGGGATTGCAATTTTGGGCGACATTTAATGATTGCAATTCGTGGTGACATTTAATTATTGCAATCCTAGATGACATTTGGGATTGCAATTTTGGGCGACATTTAATGATTGCAATTCGTGGTGACATTTTCTCACAACTTGGTGCAGGAGTGGTGATAATATGGCCGCAACTGACGATTCACCAGCAAGCTTTAGGCCTGACCACTTCCCAGACTGGCGTCTTCAGTATGGTGATATCTGGGATCACTGTTATCATGCCCATATTTGCTGGCATCATTGGGGACAAACTGGGCAGCTACAAGGTGGGTATATGTGGGATTCTGTTGGGTATAGAGTGGGTATATGGGGTTCTGTTGGGTATAGAGTGGGTATGTGTGGGGTTCTGTTGGGTATAGAGTGGGTATGTAGGATTCTGTTGGGTATAGAGTGGGTATGTGGGGTTCTGTTGGGTATAGAGTGGGTATGTGTGGGGTTCTGTTGGGTATAGAGTGGGTATGTGTGGGGTTCTGTTGGGTATAGAGTGGGTATGTAGGGTTCTGTTGGGTATAGAGTGGGTATGTAGGGTTCTGTTGGGTATATGTGGGGTTCTGTTGGGTATAGAGTGGGTATGTGGGATTCTGTTGGGTATAGAGTGGGTATATGGGGTTCTGTTGGGTATAGAGTGGGTATGTGTGGGGTTCTATGGGTATAGAGTGGGTATGTGGGGTTCTGTTGGGTATAGAGTGGGTATGTGTGAGGTTCTGTTGGGTATTGAGTGGGTATGTGGGATTCTGTTGGGTATAGAGTGGGTATATGTGGGGTTCTGTTGGGAATAGAGTGGGTGTGTGTGGGTATATGTGGGGTTTCTGTTGGGTATAGAGTGGGTATATGTGGGGTTCTGTTGGGTATAGAGTGGGTATATGTGGGGTTCTGTTGGGTATTGAGTGGGTATGTGGGATTCTGTTGGGTATAGAGTGGTATATGTGGGGTTCTGTTGGGAATAGAGTGGGTATGTGTGGGTATATGTGGGGTTCTGTTGGGTATAGAGTGGGTATGTGGGGTTCTGTTGGGTTATAGAGTCGGTATATGGGGTTCTGTTGGGTATAGAGTGGGTATGTAGGGGTTCTGTTGGGTATAAGTGGGTATGTGTGGGGTTCTGTTGGGTTATAGAGTGGGTATGTGTGAGGTTCTGTTGGGTATAGAGTGGGTATGTGGGGTTCTGTTGGTATAGAGTGGGTATATGTGGGGTTCTGTTGGGTATAAGTGGGTATGTGTGGGTATATGTGGGGTTCTGTTGGGTATAGAGTGGGTATGTGGGGTTCTGTTGGTATAAAGTGGGTATGGGGTTCTGTTGGGTATAGAGTGGGTATGTAGGGTTCTGTTGGGTATAAGTGGGTATGTGTGGGGTTCTGTTGGGTTATAGAGTGGGTATTGTGTGAGGTTCTGTTGGGTATAGAGTGGGTATGTGGGGTTCTGTTGGGTATAGAGTGGGTATGTAGGGTTCTGTTGGGTATAGAGTGGGTATATGTGGGATTCTGTTGGTGTATAAAGTGGGTATGTGGGGTTCTGTTGGGTATGGTGGTATATGTGGGGTTCTGTTGGGTATAAGTGGGTATGTGGGATTCTGTTGGGTATAGAGTGGGTATGTGGGGTTCTGTTGGGTATAGAGTGGGTATGTAGGGTTCTGTTGGGTATAGGTGGGTATGTGTGAGGTTCTATTGGGTATAAAGTGGGTATGTGTGAGGTTCTGTTGGGTATAGAGTGGTATGTAGGGTTCTGTTGGGTTATAGAGTGGGTATGTGTGAGGTTCTATTGGGTATAAAGTGGGTATGTGTGAGGTTCTGTTGGGTATAGAGTGGGTATGTAGGGTTCTGTTGGGTTATAGAGTGGGTATGTGTGTGGTTCTGTTGGGTATAGAGTGGTATGTAGGGTTCTGTTGGGTTATAGAGTGGGTATGTGTGGGGTTCTGTTGGGTATAGAGTGGTATGTGTGGGGTTCTGTTGGGTTATAGAGTGGGTATGTGGGGTTCTGTTGGGTATAAGTGGGTATGTGTGGGGTTCTGTTGGGTATAGAGGGGGTATGTGTGGGGTTCTGTTGGGTATAAAGTGGGTGTGTGGGGTTCTGTTGGTGGAGTGGGTATGTGTGGGGTTCTGTTGGGTATAGAGTGGGTATGTGTGGGGTTCTGTTGGGATAGAGGGGTATGTGTGGGGTTCTGTTGGGTATAAAGTGGGTGTGTGGGGTTCTGTTGGGTATAGAGTGGGTATGTGTGGGGTTCTGTTGGGTTATAGAGTGGGTATGTGTGAGGTTCTGTTGGGTTATAGAGTGGGTATGTGTGGGGTTCTGTTGGGTATAGAGTGGGTATGTGTGGGGTTCTGTTGGGTATAGAGTGGGTATGTGTGAGGTTCTGTTGGGTTATAGAGTGGGTATGTGTGGGGTTCTGTTGGGTATAAAGTGGGTGTGTGTGAGGTTCTGTTGGGTATAAGTGGGTATGTGTGGGGTTCTGTTGGGTATAGAGTGGGTATGTGTGAGGTTCTGTTGGGTATAGAGTGGGTATGTGTGGGGTTCTGTTGGGTATAGAGTGGGTATGTGGGGTTCTGTTGGGTATAGAGTGGGTGTGTGTGAGGTTCTGTTGGGTATAGAGTGGGTATGTGTGAGGTTCTGTTGGTATAGAGTGGGTATGTGTGAGGTTCTGTTGGGTATAGAGTGGGTATGTGGGGTTCTGTTGGGTATAGAGTGGGTATGTGTGAGGTTCTGTTGGGTAAAGGTGGGTATGTGGGGGTTCTGTTGGTATAGAGTGGGTATGTGTGAGGTTCTGTTGGGTATAGAGTGGGTATGTGTGGGGTTCTGTTGGGTATAGAGTGGGTATGTGGGGTTCTGTTGGGTTATAGAGTGGGTATGTAGGGTTCTGTTGGGTATAGAGTGGGTATGTGGGGTTCTGTTGGGTTATAGAGTGGGTATGTAGGGTTCTGTTGGGTTATAAGTGGGTATGTGTGGGGTTCTGTTGGGTATAAGTGGGTATGTGTGAGGTTCTGTTGGGTATAGAGTGGGTATGTGTGAGGTTCTGTTGGGTATAGAGTGGGTATGTGTGGGGTTCTGTTGGGTATAGAGTGGGTATGTGTGGGTTCTGTTGGGTTATAGAGTGGGTATGTAGGGTTCTGTTGGGTTATAGAGTGGGTATGTGGGTTCTGTTGGGTATAGAGTGGGTATGTGTGAGGTTCTGTTGGGTATAGAGTGGGTATGTGGGGTTCTGTTGGGTCTAGAGTGGGTATGTGTGGGGTTCTGTTGGGTAT